AGGTCATTCGATAGACATACATAAGCCTAGCTAATAAAAGCGCGTTTAAATTTAAGGCTAAGGAAGTAGATGTAAACCCACTCTGGTATGATATCGCTGTCGGATTCTCAGCCTCATTCTGCTTTATATTGCCCGTTGGTACTCCCGGCAACCTAATAGTACAAAGTGCTGCTAACATACCCACTTTGAAAATGGTAAGGAAATCCAGACTTTTAGTAACAATATTAGCAACGTACTCGTATATATCAAGTTACAAATCGTTAAATCTTATCCTAAGAACAAATTACCCATCAGGAAGTCACTCTAACAGAAAATTAATTTTATGTATATTCTCAATATACTTTCAAAAATGTATGTTTATAATGTCACCGGTTGTGAAACTGATACGCGATATTCAGTCGGATTACCCATATGAAGCGTTTTGCGGCTCTTGTTAAACAGGCTCAAAGAGCACGTATTTTCCAACGGCCTTCTGCCGACGGAACAATTCGGCTTTCGAGCTAGACACTCTTGTCCCGATCAGTTATACCGCCTAACGGAGCGCATCCTAAAAGGCCTTAACCACCCCAAACACATTAGTACAGGGGCTCTCTTCTCCGATGTCGCAAAAGCATTCGACAAAGTCTGGCACAACGGCTTGCTTCACAAGCTGTACACACTCAAAGTGCCAGATAGGCTCGTACACACCATCCGGGCCTTTTTGTTGAACCGCTCTTTTCGATATCGAGTCAAGGGCACCCTCTCCACAAGCCGCCGCCTCACGGCCGGCGTACCACAAGGCTTCTGCCTCTCACCCTTACTATTTACGCTCTACACGAGCGACATACCTAGAGACCCCCACGTCAATCTCGCGCTTTTCGCGGATGACACGGCGCTCTTTTACTCAGATCGTAACCTCAGTCAATTAACGACTCGACTCCAAAGCGCCGCCGACCGCCTCGGCGATTGGTTCCGCAAATGGAGAATCGATATAAATCCAGAAAAAAGTGTGGCGATTAACTTCACGCGTAGCACCCTCAACCCCCATCCGGCACACCATTACAAATATCCTCGCCAGAACAGAAAGTTGGGGCAAATATCACTATATGGCCAAACTCTCCCCTGGGAGAAAACGGTCAAATATTTAGGAGTCACTTTCGACTCGCGTATGACTTTCACTACGCACATCAATCAAGTCCGAAATAAAGCCGCGTTCGTCTCCGGCCGGCTACACAATTTAACGAATAAGAAAAGTAAAATGCCCTTAAGGCTCAAATTACTCTTATATAAAGCTTGCGTAAGGCCAATCATGTCCTACGCTTGCATGATGTTCGCACATATAAATCCTACGCGCATTAACAAATTGCAAGTAGTTCAAAGTAAGTTTATGCGCCGCGCAACCGGTGCGCAATGGTATCAGCGCGACGTCGACCTGCACAGCGATTGCAGACTCCCGACGATTCGCGCACATTTTAAAGATTTGACAAAACGGTTCTTCGACAGAGCCCAACATCATCCCAACCCTCTGGTGGTAAGCGCAGCAAACTACCAACCGGACACTAACGCGAACGTAAACAAGCTTCGTCCGTGAAACGTCCTCATCGACCCGGTCGACGAAAAGGACTTAGATACGATGGACCCACCGCCGGGGGTCCCGCCGGATAACACTACACCCACAGTTAGTGTATCAACAATCACACCAGTTCGCCCTCGCCTCCGAGCACGGCGAGACCCACACAACGCGTACACAAGGTACACCCGCGTTCCGGGGCGGTTCTCACCGCTCCCAGCCACCGATTAGCTAAATACACAGTCGACGGCCGTCGGGGTCTCGGCCCGAACCGCGACCTCGACGACCCTTAGATGACACACCATAGTAGATAAACGCACGCATGAGCAAATGCGCGACCCTACCCATAGCGGAGGGTCCAAACCCGTGGGTTCTGGCTAGCCCACCGGTTCTGCGTCCGATGAAGCTTTAATAGTCTCGGGACTGAAAGCAAAAACATCAGTTAATACAAGATACAAGATGAAGCGTTTCACTTCAAGCAACCTGAATAAGCATAAGAATTTGGAACTACAGAAACACATTGGTTCCATTAGAAATGGTGACACATTACTATGATTTACAGACAACAGCAGCAGTTGCTTATATTGAGCAAGCATCAAGCTGCTTGACATCTTTACGCTTATCAAAAATCATGTTTGAAATTCCTTCAGCAGTTTTATAATTTGTTTTAATGAAATCTATAAAAGATTCCACTACGTATAATACTTACTGATTCACTGCCAAATAATTGCCAGCATTTTTTATTTGTCTGACGATATGTGGACGAACTTTATTTCCTTAAATTGCATTAAATTCGTTTTGGATTTCAGGTGGCATATAATAGGTTGGCTACTAAGTGATTGCTGATTTCGGTTATAGATGTTTCTCATTCCCATTATGATATCCTCCGTAGATATGATCTTCTTCTTATATAATGTTAGCTGTCATCCTGACCTAGCTTTAAAAGATCATTGCTTAGATATTTTCTAAGTTTTTCTTTTTCCCAATATTTATATGGAGTGCAAAAACGAAAGTTTTCGCCATGTTTTGCTTTATTGTTGGGAATTGATGTTACACCTACCACATAACCCAGATCTCGCGCCATTAGATACCTACTTCTATCGATAGACAACTCCCTTCGTGGTAAAGTTTAAATGATGATGACGATATGAAATCTCACTCAGTTTTTGGCCGAAAAGATCAGACTTTCTTCAAGCATGGAAATTTCAAATTGTCACAGATGGCAAAAGGTCATCGAACGAAATGGAAAATACATTATAGATTAAATTTCATTCCAAGTACAAACAAATATTTTATTTCATTTAACAAATCCGCATTACTTAGTTGCCAACTCATACATGATTAAAATTTTGCAATACATTTTAGATCTTACTTAGTACTTAATTTCCACAAAGTATTAAACTAAATAATGTAAATCTTAAATAAAATCGCCTAGCGTGTGAGCGTTTGTGAACAACATCCATTGTTCTCTTTGCTTAAGGTTTTGTGGAAATCTGTATATAAAAGGAAATAAACAAAAATTTTGTGCCCCGCCCATCACGGTACAGTTTTACGTTATGCCATTTTGGAGTGACAATATTGCTTCCATGTTTATTTGCGTTTACAATGAAGGATTTACAATGAAATAACATTTTCAGATGAAAGCTGGTATTGGTCCTACGGTAGCTACAGTTATTATAACTTGGATATCCGTTTATTTTTGGGCTACTATAGTTTGGTCCGATTTGGTTATACTACCAGCATGGATAAATAGTCGGTAGATACTGTATTAAAAAAAATAAAATTTATTTATTTATCATTTGCTTTATTATATCCAATATCCTTTCCCTTTCATCAAAGATACCAATCTCTTCGTGCTACAGGTTTTTTTTTCAATCGACGGTGTTACACTATATTGATTTTATGCCGTCCCGTAAAGGTAAAAAAAATATCCTCTCAGAATGTTTTACAAAAATTAAAGATAGATTAAAAAAAAACCGTTAAAGACATCGCAGTGAAATTAAATAAATACCATTAATCGTATTTATTCTGTTGGGTGAATTCGTAAAACAGAAAACAAGACTATACGTACTACATATATAAGAAACGAGACGATAAATATTAACAAGAAGACGCAGGTTCGAATCCGCAAGCAACGAGTTTTTGTTCACTTGTCTACAAAAAAACAAATTAAATTTATCTTGAGTACAGAGATCAGCACAAAAAATAAAAATTAATCTTAAAACATTCATTACTCTAATTAGTATGCAGAAATGAACTGGTTTATTCACTTGTTGAAAAATTGTTTTTTAAGATAACATACCATTAACAAATATTCTGAAGTGGTCAAGTGTAAGTCTTTGAAGTATTCATAGCGCTATGGTCATATGGTAAAGGCCTAAGTTAAGACTTCTGGACCACAATGTTGATTCTCAAAATGAAACCCTAAAAAGTTGAATTTCCCACCCGGATCAAATTGTTGAATTCCTAAAATATTGAATTCGCAAAAAGTTGCAAAATGTTGAATCCTAACTATTAAATTGCTGGGTATATGAGTGCTATTACCGAGCTCGTGTGTCTACCAACTGGCCAGTTTTTGCGTAAAGAAAAACGGTATAGAAAGCCACGGAGGCTGTCTGCAGCGTGTCGTTACCACCGCGATAATAAAGGAACACACGTCTAACGCTACTTGCCAATAATCATACAAAAATATTAACGTTAAAAAACCCTTAATTTTTTTTTTCAAACAAACTAATTAAGTAAAAAAGAAACAAAATTTGTAACATCCTATCCAACTACAACTGAATGATTCATACATTCAGAGACTTTTTCATTCGTTGCCACAGCGTCGCATTACAAGCCTCTCCTTCTAACAGTATGTTTTGTCTCTATTAAATTCATTCAACCAGTTCATATGCTTTGTGACATAAGGCTGTTTTAAAATTGTTTTGGAAAATTTAATAACTCGGTAAATATTGATGTTTAAAGAATGTAAATGTTAAATACAATTTTAAAAAGTTATCCTCTATATGTGTGTTCATTTATTGTCGCGATTGTAAAGACACGCTGTATATGTATAAATGATCGCACGCTGGGTTTTGTTTGATTACTTGTTCTTTAAATTAGCTTAACAATAATCGTCCTAATAAAGTATTGTCTAGGGCACTTAATTTAAACTTTTTTAAGATATTCACAATTATGTAATTTTATAGTGTACTACAAATTCCAAATGATTATACATATATATGGCTATAGTAACGCATTTATTGGCCCTTTCACAATAAAACCTTTCTTAACCCTTGCAAAAAAGAGATGGAGTTGATATAATAAAGATTGAAAAACTGTAAATATCTTTATATAAAAAATAAAGTAAGGGTGATGATATTTAATAACAAAAGGATCTCAAGTTTCAAAAAAATTTATTCCGTTAAATAATAAAGCAATGCAAACTAACAAAGAAAGCTTTCTTTTATCGAGCTGTGGCCCAATCTGGTAGAGTAACTATATCGGGCCAGATAACCGGTCCCCATAGATATATGAACAACCATATGAAAATAATTGCACAAGCTGTTGGTCCCAAACCGGCAATTAACTGTAAGATATTAAATCAACGTAAACTAAAACTACAAATTCTACAGAAAATATTTGAATTAGTCATATAAAAATCATTAGGAAAAGAGCATTAATTAAAAACTTAGAGCTACGATTCGAATCCCATCAAATTATACGGACATCGAAATTTTAAATATTAGATCCGGAAAAGATAATAAACCACTTGAAAGTGATCGCCCCCTGGGAGCATGCACAACGCCTGTTTTTTTTAATTTATATAAACATTGCCCTCGCTTTAGGATAACATTATCCTGTGTTGTAAGGACGTTTTACAAAAATAAATTGCACGAGGACAAACACCCAGATGCGAAACAACTATCTGTGGGTCTTACAATAAGTTGCCCCGTGTGGGAATCGAACCCACGACTCCCGACGCCGAAGCCAATAAATACCTTGGCAACTGCGCGAGTCATCAAAAACTACTATTAGAACTTTAAGATACTATTTAGAAAATTTAAGAAGGCATTATTAAAAATAAAGAAATATATCTACTACTACTACTATGTGCCGTTATTCTAGGACCCAATCTTGTTATAATAAAAAAAGCAAATAAAATGAATACCATTTTCTTAGTTGGTATACTGGCGGCACTTTTCACAATCAGATTGCCGGGTGTTCCCACAGGCAACATGTAACAAAACGAAGCACTTATACCTCCCGTCAATGCGTACCAAAATGGGTTCCGGTTTATTTCTTTAGCCTAAAAAAATTTCATGTAACATTAGACCACAGTAAACGTGAAAAGTAATGGTGTATTTTTGTCAAGTGTGAATAGAAGTTTCATATAACTATTATACCAGAATAATAAAATTGGTAAATAATTAGTAAATAATCACCACCGATTTTCTCAGGAACTACTAGGTGTATAAATGATAAACATATGTAAGAAAACTTAGATTTTCACGAAAACTTGTAAATACCAAAATTTACCTTCATTTTCAACTTTTTTTATTTTTTGGAATTTTTCCTTTATTTAGGCTGTGAGATCTTCCTTATTCGCCAAATTTCTTGATTCTAAGTCAACGTAAATTACCATATAGGTTTTCGACCCAAAACCTGTACGGTACTTCCGATTGACCTAGAATTTTCAATTTTGGTTAAAAGCAAGGTCTCATAACATGAGAAAAGGGAAAATTCCGAAAAAATAAGTTGAAAATCACGGTAAATTTTGATACTTACTTTGGTACTGTTTTTGCGAAAACTTAAGGTTGCCCATATCTTTTTATCGTGTTGATTTTTGTACACCTAACAGTGACTATAGACCATAGTATCTGGTATAAATTTCAATAAGCTCAGTTAATTGCCGGTTTGGGTCCAACCGTTCCGGAGAAAATCAATGGTGACACACGGATAGACAGATGGACAAGATGTGATATTATAAGGGTTCCTTTTTTACTTTCCAAGGTACGGAACCCTAAAAATGCTGTTGATACAGAGCCATATAAAATGTAATATTTTAAGATATAAAATAAAAACAATACAAGGAATAGAAATTTACAATAATGAATTGAATACTTTTAATTAATTTAATAAGCTTATGTACAAAATGTTAGCACATATAATGTTGAAATGTTAGTAGTTAGCACGGTATTTAACAAATTCAAAATATTAATAGTACTTGTATATTAAAAATAAAATTAAGTGTTAGTTCAACAGGAAAAAATAAGAAGTATAGAAATAAGTTGCATATAGACTATTACTATTATTATTTAGTGCTTCATTCTTTCATCAGGCATTAAGCCCGAAAATATTTTTCTTTCCTAACAGAACCATATAATAGAACTAAATAATCTCTGATTAGTTCCCTTACTAAAACTCACCAGCTGCATCACAATGGGCACGAACACATTACAAACAACGACATTCGATGCAAAGTTCGTTACAAAAACAACAACGATGACAATTAGCAATATAATTATAACGTTGGGTAGATCTTTTAAATTTTGTAATTGTTCTCCAATTTTCTCGTTTAAGCCGGATTTCTTAGCAGCTGACGAAAGAGCAAAACCTCCACCTGCAAACGATCAAATTCCTTGTTCCGTACACAGAATGAAAAAGTTTTTTACATACACATCAAAAAAGTCTTAGCAACTTGTTAAAATATTGTAATTTTTTAAAATAATTTAATGTAATTATGTTTTTAAATGCTTTAAATATAGACTTATATATAAGCTCATTTGGTATATTTTTGTAATTTCCAAAGAATAGTATTATGGCATACTACTTTGGGGATGCGCGGCCGATATTTTTATCCTGCAAGAGACCTATTCGAGCAGTTTTATAATAACTCGCGCCTCAAATAATGACTAACAGAAACAACTGTTTAAAGACATAAAAAAAGAACGAATTTTCAAGATTTAGTACATGATATACGTACTATGAACAAACAAATTAAATGTACCTTCATCAAGATTGCATAGAGTTAGTATAAGTAAACCTTTTATATACGTTTTTACAATAAAAATAAATTAAGAACCAATAAAATTCTATTTTCTTTGATTTTCTGTAGAGAAATTTTATAGTGTTGATTGAGAATGACGACTGTCTTCAACTTTACAACATTAGCATTACATTAAATCTTAAAATAATACTGATAATACGTTATACAACGATGACATTCAGCAAGAGATGAAACGGTACACGAATATAGAGGACCCAGCGGGTCGGTAAGACCGTTCCATGCAACTCACCGCAAGACGTCTACTAAGATGTCCGCCCGTGAGATAGGGTTAAGGCTATAAAACTAGACTAGCGCTATTGTTAGCCAGTTCATGCAACCCATCTGTCATAGAAATCAGGGTCACCGAGAACCACGGCGCAGAGAGCAAGTGCAATGGCCGTAAGAGTGGTAGGCATAAGATCCTATTTTGTGACAACCCCCAATTAGGATTTAGATGAAGTAAAGGTCTCTCGAAACAGTGAGCAACTTAGGTTTGTTCAGAAAGTTTATACAGTAGGTCAATACTGTCCACAGTAACTGTTTGTGCGGGAATCATGACGGACAGACGAGCTGAGCTATTTGCTCTTATATCCGATTTATGAAAATTCTTAATTGTTTTTAGGTATATGTAAATTAGTTATTTTGTTCTCTTTTTTATTGTTGTAAACGGTGCTTGTGTACGATCAATAAGGATTTTTCTATTCTATTCTATTCTCTTTGTTAAAACGCAAATTAGAGCCTAATTCTTACACCAAAAACATTTTGCGGTCTCATATTCTTCCGTAGAATGCTTAGATTTTACAAAATCATGAAAATGAAGGACTCAAGAATAGAATATAATAAAATTCATAAACCGCCGAAGTTGAGTTTTAATAACCGTGCTGTTTATAATCTTATCCTTTAACCGAGCAATATATATATATATATATATATATATATATATATATATATATATATTCATACATAGATTAGTAGATTTAGTATGTGCTTAGATTTGGTGGCGTTTCATTTTTAGACAATGTCCTTTTATCCCTGTTTTCAGAGAATGAAAAATATCATTCGAATATGACCTAAATTTCGCCGCAAAAAAAAGTTATAATAGCTCGGTCGGTAATCGGGCCCCAAAACAGACGGCCGCGCATTTACACACTTATTTTTTTTTACTTTTTTTTCTATACCAGATCATTTTCTTTACTTTCAGTTTTTTATTTTCAAAATACATGATTTACCAAAAAAAACCAAGTCCTCCAAGTACTTCTATTAAAAATATTACTCATGCATTTTTTTTACAGTACCAAAGCGTGGGAATATTAGTTAGTGTTGCTTAGACTTTTTTTGATGTTTGTGGTAAATTATTTCGCCACGAGCGTAAATCTGAACGTTTGTATGTATGGATGGATGTTTGTTAATCTTTCACGCAAATACTACTGAATGGATTTTAATGAAACTTTGCAATAATATAGCTTATACATCAGAATAACACATAGGCTATAATTTATATACATGTTTTTATTTATATCTGTATTTCTGTCTGAATGTTACGTCTTTAGCCTATTCTACGCAGACGTAGTCGCGGGCAGCAGCTTGTAAGATATAAATTTATAAATACTGGATACATTTATATTCTATTTTAACCGACTTCAAAAAAGAAGGAGATTTCTCAATTTGACAGTATACATTTTTTTGTGTGTTCGCGGATAACTTGGTCATTATGAACCGATTTCGATGTTTCTTTTTTTGTTGGAAAGGACGTATTTCAAGGGTGGTACCATGATAAGGAAATTCGGAGCTGATGAATGGCATCCCAGAGAAATCTAGGGCAATCCTCAAATGTTATATGTATTAACAATGTTCTTGAGTTTCCGATTTGAAGTCGGTTTCTTTTGTTAAAAATTATTTATGATCAACTTGATTGTTTTTTTTTATTATGTACTCACCTAAAAGGAAACTGAAGCCATATGGTAAAGTTTCGTTCATTTTTTTCCAGATGAGCACTGAGCTTAAGGGTTCTTTCGGCAATTGTTCGTGATCTAAAATTATAAGACGTTTAAACAAAGAAATTGTAAAATTATATTAAGTTTTGACATAAATAAAATGACAATAATTTAGTCTAAAAAAACAAAAATGAAACATTCCATTATCAAATAACAACGTAAGGCTCATTAATATTCACTAATCAATGTTGGACTACATTGCACAGTGTGATAACGTTGTCTATATCTCTCTTTAAAAAACGGTTCGGCTGCTCTTTATAAAATAAAAGGTAACCTTGTTAAAGTATCGGCCTATACATGTTCCACTGGCGTGAAAAGGCTACTTTTGTACAGAGGGTATTAACCCAATGCGTGACCCCACTGTGGATTGGTAGACTTAACCGCAGAGTTTTGAACTCAGGTTGCTCGTGTAAAAAGAAATAACAGGCTAACGCCCAGCCAAACACTGAACTATCACAGCTTACCTTTTTTAGATAAAATGCAAAATAAAATTGAATTCAATAAATAAAACAAATTTAAAGATTACTTACACTTTGCCGTAAAGTTTTTGAAAAATAAGAGATTTGATGGAAAAAGGAACATAAGGAAGATCACCACAGAAGCTAAAGCTGAGTCCCGAACACTAGTAAATCATAAATAATAAAACTAAATGGATAAAGGAAAATAAAGAATTAATAACTTTTATGTAAAAAGGACTAAGATCTTACAATTTGGCAGGTCTATCAAAAACTTTTTCAAGATAGTCGCCCCACCCCATGAACATTTTAGGAGAACGACAGAAAAATAGAATCATTGCACCGCCAAACAAAAGAATAACCATCTGAAAAAGTAATAATAAATGCTTATTTTTCAAAGTATCTTAAGTCTGCAATTTTAGATTTCACGTCTGCGGTGGTGTAATTGTAGCCAGTTAAATATTTACAATGGTCGATTTCGACCCACAGGTCAGTGAAGTAACAATTCGATATTTTTCTTTTCATTTGAATATAACATCTGAATATATAGCTATCTGTATATCTTCAGGGCTACAGGGTTGTGGTAGTTTGCGAAAAAACTCATTTTTGAATTTTATACGTTCTTGTAATAACATTTGTAACACCACACTATATGAATAATTCCACATTTATGAATATGGCCAGTCTTTCATGATCATGAATTTTATTTAGGAGTAAAAAAGTAACAGCCTGTATATAACAGTACCACGGCTGGGCAAAGGCTTCTCTTCTCTACATAGGGTGTTAGGGCGTAGACCACTACGCAACCCACTGCGGATTTCACACACTTCGAAACATATTTGCTACATTGCTATTATTTTGAAAATGTGCAGGTTTCCTCATGATGTTTTTCTATACCTCTAATTACTGTTAATACTTATAATTAGCATTACCAATTTCATTGGTGTTTCATTCGACCAATTTCATTCGGCACCGGCACTCGAATCAAGTTCGGCGAGTTTACAGAAACAAAGCGTACACCTATCACGGCTCAGTGTTTTAATGTTGACTTAGTTTCGTTTAATTTTTTTTTAATGAAACAGTCAACAACTTTAAATTTTTAGTAGTAATGCGATAATTCCAATAGTTTCACTTAAATATTGTTCTATATTTTCGTATAAATTAGTATTCTTTGCAGTGAAAAAAGACTCACAAGTTCCCAAAAAGTGAGACTCCCTAATTTCTTCCAATCATCATCAACAGTCTTCTTGGCGGCTGCTATACCCTCGGGAGATATATAAGACTGTTTTGCAGCCTGACTCCCTGGCCTATTATGTGAAAGTCACCTCTTTATTTTTAACTCGACAAGTGAGAATTATTGAACCTAAGGTCACTCATTACACCACGTATGTTGGAGGCCATATTGGCCAACCTAAGAGAATGGTCCTCAATTTAATACTTATACCACCGGAAAAAGTACAAATACTTTTGCTTCCAGAGGCCATAATCCGGTCGAACTGACAATACATGAAGCACAAGTTTTGTAAAAAAATACATACATACGCGAGATACAAAAGGAATTCCATTTATCGCAAAGATTTCTAAAAAACTACACAAGAAAAATAACAAGAAAATAAGTAATCTTATCCAAATTTGTCTTGTCATTCGAAAGTGAATTAATTACGTACATTTAATAAATAGATCCACTGCTCTCAAGACCAATGATTTGTTTTATAGATATATTTAAAAAATAATGATTGTGTGAAAGCTGGTTCTTGATAACAAATACACAAATTTGCAAATATTTTCCACCCAGTCGACAATATTTTAACTGCACAAAATAATTTAAAATAAAACACGTACCTTAACCACCCAAGAAACTGAATAAGGAAGGTAAGAAATAAAGTAACTTCCAGAACAATAGCTAATGGAATAGTGAACGCAGAAAACTTCGGAAATGACAAATACTCCGGTGACGTTGGGTAAGCCCTGTAAACATAAATATTATTTCAATATTAACTTCATTAAATTTAATGTTGAACTTAAAGTAAGCAATCATAATATTTTGAAGTAGTAATTGAAAAAATTTCTTCCGAAATTTCTTGCATAATAATTCAACCTTCGTTACTATTTAAGTCCTTAAGAAAAAAGCTAAGCTATTAATTTTAAAATTTATTACGTTGGCACAAAACCTGAATGGTGGAGAGTTTTCCTAAAAAATTGTACTGTTGGTTATTCCTCTGGACTTCGTTCAGAGGTGATATAAAAATGCCTAACTTATGCTGAACGCGACGAAATTGATGATAATCACTTCCGTGACATCCGTATTTTTATTATTTGTATTATATCCGTTTCTTCTTATAAAAAAGGAAAGCAATAATTGTCGACCTCTTGTTGTCTATGATCCTTTAGTATCATAGAACTATGAATTTAAATAAAATTTCTCTTTTAGAACTTACTTCTGGATAAGTCCTTTCATTACCAGATTCGTCCCTGTACCGACTAAGGTTCCGATGCCACCTGTAAAATGTCAATGAAATGCAGAGTATAAATGTTATATAAAAAAACAATGTTACAGTAACACTTAAACAATTTTATAACCTTTTGTAACCAATTAACTCAATAACCAGTAATTAAAACTAGATTGTATCTACACCAAAATTGTCTTCTAGTTTTCTAGCAATATCACATTTCATAAAATAATCTGTAATTGTAAGTAGCACCTCCATAATATCTTTTTGTATTATTGATTTGATTTGATTTAATGTCACACTGGTGGGCAAAGGCCTCCTGTATACAGAGAGTATCAGAGAATCACGCGGCCCCACTGTGGATTGGCGGACTTCACATATCTTTTTTTTTTTTTTTTGTTATTATTTAGAAAATATGTATATATGGTTTCCTCACGATGTTTTCTTTCACCGTCGAGCACATGATAAGTCAGCACTTTAAATTAAAAATTTCATTGTTCTTGGCACCGGGGATCGAACTCAGGCTGCTCGAGTAAATTGAATTAAAGGCAAGCGCCCGGACACTGAGCTATTATGGCTCTTAGAAATTCTCAAGATATAATATTAAATCGATATCACTAAATCCAAACCGATTGTTGCAGAAAATGTGGCGGCACAAAAGTAGCAGGTGGTTATATCTGTTGCAACACGGTCACCATCACTAGTGTACTCGAATATTGTCAATAATTTTTGCTGCAATAAAAATATACAGCATTACAATTTTTTCGCCGGACCTCTCATCTTTTCGGCTAGCTATGCAAATTACAGTTTTGATATCAAATTGATGATCCTTACTCAAACTTTAACGGGTAAGAAGTCTCATTTGTCAGTTCAATAAATATATACGACCTTCATTTTAAGAAATAATTGTAAATTCATCGGTATACGGGGGGGCAAGGCGTGCTTTTTTTTTTAAATGAAATAAGTGATTCGTTTCAAATAACAACAAAACTTACTTGCTCAAAAACTTTTAAGATGGCAAAATTAATAGGCACCATCATAGTTGTGGCAGCAGTATTAGTAATCCAGAATGAGACAAACATTGTCACACAACACATCGATAACAGAAGCCTGTGAGAAGAAAAAGAACGTGACTAATTTTCTATCTATATCTCCGTACATCAAAATTTTTGAAAGGTTAAGCTTAACGCCGCGGCTGGTGACAAGAGGGCTGGTTCTTTTTCGGTCAAAGGTTTAGCATAGCTATTCAGCGAGGAAATGCAGCTAGGGTTCTTGGTACCATGCCGCGTGGGCTAGGTTTCTTGCTTGATATGTAAATTAGATACCCTGAATGTACTAAATATTGGTTATATTACAAAAAATGTAAAATTAATTTTTTTTGGCTTGATATACCACTGTTGGCTTGAGGGGCCATTTCAGATCCGCCGGACTTGAGGTGGGGCTCGGGCCGCCTAGTCTGACCCTCGGTTATGGGTTATGGTGCCTTAAATTTGAGGGCTTTCCCGAGGGAGCCTCGGCTCGGGCCGTCACGCTGTTACTAATCTCACCGGTTCGGGAGGCCACCAAGCTCTTAGGGCGTATTGGCGGACGCTCCATGGAGGGACTAGGATCAAGTGCCTCGGCTTGGGCTGTCAGTCAATATTCGTTTAGCATTCAGATTCGAGGGTGCCCAAGAGGGTCAGACCTCGGCTCCATCGGTAGCTATTATCTGACTGGGGTAAATGATAAAAAAACTATGACAAGTACTTTAATCATTGTTGTATAAAGAAAGATGCAACTAGCTATCTACCATATATCTCTTAATTTACGTCCAGTTTTCAGAATTCTTTTTTTTAACTTAATACTAAAGTGCATTTTCCTTGACATCAAAAGTTTCCTTGACACAAAGTATTAAATATCAAGGAACACGGTAAAATCTAAACAAGATCAAAATGACCAACCTGAAATGAGTAAATCCAATAGTCCGAACTGCACCGTAAGCCAGTCTTCTATGAAAACCAGACTGTTCTACGCAGGCAGCCAAAATGAGGCTTCCAATAAACATCATCAAACTGTCCTGTATAAAAATTTGCCATAAATCCAATTAATCGGATGAATATAATAATCAGGTCATTTGAATTTGTTCCTTCCTCTTAATACTTAATTAAATATTTTATTCTGATTCGCGAATTTAATGTCGCAGGTAAGAGATAGATTTTAATTAATATAAAAAATAGTCGAGCGCTAAATAATTATAAAATTGAAATTATAGAAGACCCCAGAAAGAGCAAAGGAAAGTAGGCAAGGTTTACTTATTGGTACTTACATTCATATAAGCCTCACTAGTGTCCGATGTGCTATTCACTCCTGTTACTGGAAACACTACCATCGGCAGGAAGGAAGTCACTGGTAGTGGTATACATTCCGAAACCCAGAAAACTGCCATTATAACCAAGCAGTAAGCGCACCATTGGTATTTCTGGAATATAAAGAGGAAAGGTATATACACTTATTTATTACTTCCTCCATCGGTAGATATATAAATCACTTAGCTAACTGCCGGTAGTTAGCACAAAAAACTATCTAATTGCCTTAACTGTGCTCACCTATCTAACTTTTTACCTTTTTTTCTGAAAGATATAATCTACTAATAATCTACTTTTTACTAGGAAAATAGCAAGCGATCAGGCAGTTCGCTCAACGTGTGATGAATTGCTTAAACGACAAAAACGTTCAAAAGAATAAAGATTTCGCTCATGTTGCTGTATGGATAACATCAACTTCAGGCCCGTCTCAATAAAATCCTTTCATTCCATTCGTGCAACAAAAGAATCTAAATGTCTACTCATATCGTTTAGGATTTTATAAACCTCGGTCGGCGGCGGCAATACAATAGGAAGTGCTATAATCGGCGTCAAAAAACAGAGCAGTCCTCTCCAGTGGACAACAACGAAATATTTAGCCTTTTCCGTTAGCGTTAATTCCGGGTCGTCTTCAGTTCTGCCGAACCTTAATACGGAGAAATTCAGTAAATAAATATACGTACATTTAATTCACCCCAATGGCAATGCACGTTATTGAGGTTGAATCGAGAAATTAAAAAAAAAACAAAAGCGAATCAAAATGGTTCTATTTCAAGGATTATTCTTTATTTCATTTCTTTCTACTACGTTATTAATTGACTGCTTAATTTCGTAGTAAGAACGGTCACATAAAACGATCAGAATAGATCGATAAAAATACACTTCAAGTATTTATTCGAAAGTAAAATTCAGTGAAGAATGCATAGTAAAGTATTAAATTTAAAAAGCAAGCCAAATCTTTGCAACATTTTAAATAGATTAAATTGCTAACGAAACAGAAAATTGTACTCACATCTTGAACAAATGATAATTATATGTAGACCAATTATCGTTACATAAAATATTTATGTAATGTTGAAAATAGAGCTTATTAGACGTCTTTTTAGTCAACGCAAAATATATTCCTTCATCTGACAGATGTTTAAAAAGAACGATTTATTTTATTTAAAATAATATTTGAATTTGTGTTTGCGGCAAGTAATACTCATATTATTTCTTTTAGTTACACGGAAATTTTTAGCTATTATTACGTAACTAAAGTAATATGTAAATAGCAACTAAATTACATATTTGTATATGTCCATATCAAAAATATTGTATGGAAGTAGTTATTGTTTAATTAATGAACATTTATTTCTGTATATATATATAAAAAGCCGGAATAGTGCGAGTTGGACTCGCGCCCTAAGGGTTCCGTACCACTTATAAAAGTTGGTAAAAAAATCATGTCTGTTGTATAGGAGCCCCATTTAAATATTTTTTATTCTGTTTTTTAGTATCTGTTTTTATAGCGGCAAAAAAATACATCATCTGTGATCATTTCAACCGACTAACTATCACGGTTTATGAGATACAGCCTGATGACAGACGGACAGACAGACAGCAGAGTCTTAGTAATAGGGTTCCGTTTTAACCTTTGGGTACGGAAACCTAAAAAGGATTTATTCTATTTTGAAGATAAGTTTCGTTTATTGTTACAGATTACGAAATATTACAGCTCGTGGAATTAACAGAAAATTTCAATTTAATTTTTATTTCAAACTTTCGAATTTTCATATGTAGGTAAATATAGTTAATGATGCTGTTCATAAAATATAGTTAACCTCTAGGTAAAAAAAATGTCATGCAACGGATGCATAACTGCTGCAAAACAAAGTTCAACAAAGCCATAGAGTTATTCAGGAATTTAACCAAAAATAAATGTAAAACCAAATGAAATATTCACAACACTATTTCCTATACGAATATATCATTTTAGAATGAACGTTTGCAAAGGAATGTAATGCCCGCCTAATCATAATGGCATTTGGGAAACGGAGGGATCCGGTAGAGACAAGTAGTTTGGACGTGTTCTTATTTACGGCGGCGAAATGAAGACGCCGGAGTGGCGTCCAGCGAAAGCAGACGTAGCGAAACAGAGGCCCGGCAACAGGCGAGCGTGCGCAGCCCTGCCGAGCCGGCCCACGTGAGACGTTAGAGTACTTGTTCCCGCCCGTCAGTTGGGCGGCTCAACTGCCCGGAACGCGCGTGTTCATTGTTCGACCGGCGCCGTGTGCCGCGTAAATTAGAAAAAATCACCCCAATCTTTCCCGGGCCGACGCGCAACCAGCCGTGGTCGTCCGCGGTGTTGGACTCTTCAAACTATGTAGACGCGGCGGTTTGTGTTACAACGTGTTCAGGATAATCGGCACGAAAGATGCCCGAAGTTATTAAACATACATGATCTAGCATCACGCCTTACCGAGATCCAGAAACGCTCATCGGCTTGATCAACAGGTCAGGTTTCACTCATTAATAATAACAGGGCTGCCACCTGCCCAGATAAAATTTTTTTGTGATATTAATACTTGTATTGCATCCGTAAATGAATTATTGCTCTTAAATTAAACTATAATAGGAGTGTCGTACTATCTTTAAGCAAGAATATACAACGATACGAGAACATCTTTTAGTTCGATCGATTCGACATTTATTTAATAAGCAACTTGTAAAAAAAATATTTTTGCTTTTTAAAAATAATTTAAGAATGCCAAGGTATTAATCATTTTTATGATTTAGTGTAATAATACAAGAAAAAACAAACATTAAGGGACCTAGTAGGACGAATATTATTTATTGGTTAAGCTAATCTAACTTTTTGTGGTCATAGTATACGATGATGAATTTACGTTATTTCTAATTAAAATTTATATTAAAATCAGATAGTTTATTATCTGACATTAATAATTATAAATTGAATAGATAATTCACATTATAATTTCATGAGCTTAAATAGAATCCTCAACTGCTTAGCACACGAAAGCTTTTTACTCTTGTTTTAATTTTTCAATATTTCCATAAGAAACAGTACAAATGCGTATTGCATTACAAGTTCTTATTAGGTACTTCTGTTTTAGAACTTTTAGGTGCAGTCGTATCCATATTTTGTATTTTAAAGGTAGCCGTGAATTTTTGCCAGTGTCAATATCATATTATATTAGACACGAAATTTTATCATTTATCTTAATCAAAAGAAAATTACACTATTTATTCGCAGTATATTAAATAATTTTATGTATGTTTATTATACAAATCTGACAATGAAGACGATTCATGGCTGAAGGAAGAAAAGTTCACAGAAAAATTTGAACATTGCACAAAATAATTTAACATGATAATTTAAAATCTAAGTGGATAATTTTGTCGCTTCGGAAAAGAAATTGTGCCGAAGACAACTTTACGTTTAATTTACTTAAGTCTCCTTCGGAACATTAGTTCGTCCTTCACTCTCTATGGAAAAAAGGTGCATAGCAATTCAAATCAGACTACTTAAAGTTAAAAATAGCAAACTTACAGAGCTCTATATTTATGCTATTGTACTTCACAAATAGACAATGAGTGCTCTCATAATCTACAGTATTTACGACCATTCATATTAGTATTTACATAGTAGTAAAATTGACTCCATCGACTGAATACCAGGCCAGTCAGATAGTTTTGCGAAAAAAGTTTGTATGGAGCCCTGGCTCAATATAATTATTTAACAATTTTAATTACTTAAAAGTAAAAAAAAAAAACGTTATTCGAATTTTAAATATCGCTCCATAGTTCTTTAGAAACTAAATTGAATAAACGTGTCTCATGTAAAAATGGATCTGCATCGGGAACATTTTCTTGCAATGAATTTTTACGACTTCAAATGAGACTTAAAACCGAACAAGTCATTTAACCGACTTCAAATGGCATATATGGATGAAAGACCTTCAAATGTAACCATCTACCGCTGGAATAACGAATTAAAACGCAGTAGTCTAGCACTAGGGGATGCGATGATCGAAAAAGTGGCCGTCCTTGGACGGCTGTTACCAAAGAAAGTGTGCTGGAAGTGAAAAATACAATTCAAGAAAAAGGGATTCAGCACACATTGCAGATTAGTTCGCAAAAGATTCAGAAGATAATTTAGCGCTGGGTACCACATAACCTTATCGAAGCTTAGAAGCAGGCTCGTGTGGAATGGTGCCTTGGCATGATTTGTAAATTTGAAGCAGGCTCGCCTGGGGGCGTTTACTACATTGTGACAAGTGACGAATCTTGGACAGTCTTGATTTGTTTGTGACTTGTTTTTATTCTGGGATACATTTATCATAACCGGAAGACGCGCTAACAGTGTTAGAGAAGGCCGCCGAAGAGGAGTTTAAGGCGTTCAGGAAAAAGTGCTTTGAAAATTGATTCAGACACCTGACAGTAAAGAACGAACTCTCCACCAGCCTGGTGGAGAGTTCTTTGAAAATATTTTATCCATATAAGTTAGTTTTTTAGTTTCTCAAAACTTTGTGAGTGTTCTACATATGTGTCCATGATTCCTCTTACAAACAAAAAATATATACTTGCAACGTAAATATAAATTCATAAAGAAATGAATAGCTCATGATAACGCTCAAACTCATTGATAGTACACAATGTTTGTCTTTAAAAAATATTTGTACCTAAATCTGAAATAAATATAAACACTTATCATTTACCAAAAACTTTTTATTTTATATTAATGAATGCAACTAATTCACAGCATATCAGACTTATGTAGCATTTAACATAATAATATAAATGAAAGAGAACGTTACTATACGATAGCCTAGCTCTGGGATCTTCTTTTTCGGGTGATACTCCCTTTTTGTTAAAAAAGGTAAGTGAGTTTGTAAACTTACCCTTTTACAATTGTGGTAGCAATTTAATTTACAAAATTCGCGTTTTATTTCTTATTTAAATAACCGTAACCTTGCGAACACGGACATGATTTAGTGCACGTCTTACCCATAAAGATCTGGTTTCTAACCCTTTCACACGGTTCTGTAATGTTGTGACAATAATTATTTCACATAGTCTG